TACCAATGTGCGAGGCCTTTCGCATCCCAAAATACTGAAATTAATAAGCCATTCATTTTTTTAATTTAAATTCTTCTGTTTTATTAACGTTATTAGACTTTCTATACTCCCTGGAAACATTTCTTGGACTTCCTGCTTAAGGAGGCATGGTAATTAAATTTGTTTGAAAAGTTATTATAATTTCCGAAATTATTGTTCTGTAATGGCAATTAAATTGATTAATAACGCTTCGTTCTAAGAACAATTAATCACAGGCAAATGATTTGTTGAAAACTTAACATAACTTCAATTATAGATGGAATTTTTTTATCGAATTTTAAACATGATGTTCTACGTATTACACAAATAAAAGTAAAGACATTCCTTACTACCTATCGTTGCCAATCGAAGCGAACTAAATCCTCTTTCAAAAAGTCATTTGTGAATAAAGCACTGGAGTGTAAAGTGACAAGTTGAGGTTAATTTTTTTATCCGCCCTTCTTGGAGTAATTTTTTTTTTTCTACCTTGCACTTTACATGCATCCATTATGGTTTTTGGCATCTATGATAAAAATGACTTCGTAAACGAAGCGCTGTCCATTAATTAGTTTACGCTTCATAGCAAAAGCTGCGCAGTGTTGGCTTAAAAAAGGGAAGAAAAACAATAACAATAAATCACGAACGCTATCAGTTAGTCAAAGTTGAGGTGGGTTGCTATTTGACAAATTGACATTTACTTCATTAAAGTAAAGGGCTCTTGAAGAGGTTTTTACTTGTACATAAATGATTCTTAATTATCTGAAATTTTTCATTCACTCATGTATATTTTTTTTTCAATTCTTTCGTCCAATTTGCGGCACTAAGAGTCTTTTTAATTGTTTTTAACCGATAGCGGAATCATTGACTGCTTTTCTATTTTGACACGCGTTTTTATACGTGAGAATTAAACTGTCATCGTACGATAAAAACGGAAACTCAATTTCGAAACATAAATTTAAGGTCTTACTAAGAAACAAAACATCACCTAATGCAGTTAAATACTGAGTTTGATCTAATTATGGAACTATCGAGACCATAATGTTAAGAATTTAGGAAAACTTGTTATCAATAGCTTTGTAGCTTAGTTAATGCACAAGGCTACAATGCAGAAATTAGTGAAATTATTTTGGACTCCGAAAGATAACCGAAACAAGTTGTTTTAAAACATTCTATTCCTTCACTGTATAGGACTTATTTACTGTGATTCTTATCACACCAAATTAGAACCTCACATCTATTTTACGTTAGCTTATATAGGATATATTTTGATAGCACCCACTGCACTACTACCGTTATATTTTTTCTCTTTATGTCATAATATATTCCAAAATTGGTGAAGAGCAAAGTATTTATTGTAACTGCATATTCGTAACAATGCATTTGTTGAAACGATTATTGCGCTTACCCAGTAGACAATCGGGGTTTTTATTGCATTGGTAGAGCTCCGTATTCTAACCGTCTTCGCTGCAGGAGACTGCTATTCACGAACCGCCTTCCTAACTGTCATTTATCCGGGCCGGTATAGTGAGACCAGTCTCATTAAACGTCGGTTCGAATATTTCATACTCTCTCCGAAAAATTCACAGATAGATTTCCTTTCTGACATATAATCATAACTGGGTTAAAACAGGGAATGCAGTTCTCGGGTGTCAAAGGATCGGTTGTGCAAGAGGATTCAGCGGATTCGTCCGAGACGTGGAAGGAGAGGGAGGGGTTCTTGCTGCAGGACAATGATCCTGTTCACACGACTGCAGTTTGCGTTGCAGTCTGTAGTGGCTTTAAACCACCTTCCATATTCACCGACTTATCTCGAAAGGATTTTTAATCTCGAAATTCAAGCTACACGCGATGGGTCAGCACTGTGGCTACGTAACCGACATTCAACGCACAGTCACAAGCAAGTTAAAGAACATCCCAAACAACGGCCTTTTCTGACAGTTTTCCGTATGAACGTTCTGTGCGTTTTACGCAAATGCAGTGGGACTAGGCAAAACATATTGAGCATTAAAACCTTCATCTTACGTTTTCTATAGTCTTCATTAATCTAACCTCGGAAGATTTTAGACAAAGAGTGTATGTTATTGAGTAATATTTTTTTTGACTTCTTAGTGGAAAACATTTGTTGAATTCATAATTTTGTTACATATAGTATGCGAAGGAAAATTTCACATATGTTATTTACATGTTTCCAAATGTCAAAAATAGTTTATTAACTTTCTCATCAATTTTATTCCTCTAAAAACTTAATTTAATAACCATTTTTTTTCATTATTAAACTGTGCAACTAGTAATTTGACGAAATGGCTGTGTACCACTACCGAAACCATCACTGTTTCTTAAACAAGAATTCGATAAGTTTATATGAAAAAAGACCTCGTTTTCGAGGAAACGAAACATATTCATCGATATTTTCCACTACAGTCTGCATAGCAGTGCTTGTCATTTAATTTATTAATATAATTAATCAATCTCAGTGTTGCAAAGCTGTGGTATTTATTGTGAAGAAAAGCCTCACGCTTGCATTTATACATCTGACATTTATGAATAGATACTGCGCATTTATTTAAATGAAACAAAAGAACTTTATGGTAGACGTTATATGAATATTTCATCCCACTTTGATTATTGTAAACACTAGGCAGCTCACGTATGCAAATTACAACTGCTTTCAATAACAGACTGTTACTTCAATAAAAGACTGCTCGCTTGTTCATACTGCAATTGTTTCCAGTACCACATTGTTCATGTACTCAGAGTGATTGCTTTCAATGTTAACAAAATTCGAAACGATATTAACTAATCAGCTTATTAATTTTATAACAAACTAATATAATATTTGACTGGTTAGGCTTCTTTAATTTAGTAAGACTAAATTTCAGGTATTACTTAGTAAACAATTATAGCATTCTTCTGTGCGTTCATTCATTGTATACGTAATAAATTCAGCTGGCAAATGAAAGATCTGGACTTTTAATTTGGATCTGGACGAATTTTAAGGAACAAATACCTGATTCTTCATGTTTTCTTTTCGAAAACTAACTGTATCATCATCAGTATTCGACCACTGTATATTCCAAATGGCAATCTGAATATTTCAATTTCCAACGTAAACCACGGGAGCACACAAGGAGAATGCAATAATTCTTACAATTTGAAATTTTTTCTACAAGTGTTAGTGACTTTTAGACAAAAAAGTGCATATTTGCTTTTTACCTTTGCTGTTTACCTTTAAATTACATCACAAAATTGTTCCTTGAAGTCTAACTCACATACATAAAAATAAAAAAAATAAGAAAATAAATTTAAACATTTATTCAGTTAAAGAAAATATGTTGCGAAGTGATACAATTAGCAATATTTCATTATTATATCAAGATATGGAATAATGGCAAGGCAGAGGGCCACATAAAGAAAATGGATCCTTTAAGTTAAATATCTGAAACTCTTTTATGAGGGTGCCAAAAATTTCAAGTTTATTTACTGCTGTAAAAAAAGAAATCGACACTGTAAAATTTAAATGAATAACAGAGATATGGCATCAGAGAATTTTAAAACAAACCATATACATTTCATATATGTCTTAAAATTAAAAACCGAATCCTTGCCCGGATATGGTTCAAACATGAAACATTCCTCGTTTGTGAGGATTTAGACTTACCAACAGGATACGAAAGGGATATCTGTCTCCATATCACTGTACATAGCTACTTGGTATAATTAATCCGTGTTTAGTTCATTTAGCCGTGACGGGATTTGCTACTGACATTCATTCCCTTCTAAAGATACCGATACTCTTGTTTATACCAAGTATCGAGTCACTTTTAAACATATAAATACCAAGTCTTATAAAGTATCGAGTCACTTTTAAACATCTAAATTAGAACTGCAATTTATATACATATTTCTGTCTTTTAAGTGTTACAAGTATATATTCAATGAATGGATTTAATTCGTTTAAAAATGATAGGTTGATTGATTAGCTAATATATTAGAAAGATACCTTTATTGCTTAATGTTAATGAATATGCATATAAAAAGGGCTAAACATTCGAATAACATAATTAATTGCATACAATCTACAGAGCACATGGTGTCTTTTAAAGAAAATAAATAAACTTGATACTATTCCAAAACTTTACAATAATGATTTTAGTTGTCAAAATTATTTACTATAAAGATTTTATTTGTCAGAAGTTGTACAAACTTCATTTTGAGCATAATTTCAGATTTCCCTATTGATTATTTAAGTGAGGATGAAACCATTCAGAACCGTAACAGGAAAATGTTTTAAGATAAATAAAAGTTTTCAGAATTCTATATTAAAGGAAAGGAAAAAATTGCGATATAATTATCTCAAAGAATTTAGATTGCTAGTTTGTGATAATAAGAAATAGTTCGCTATTATTTAATCTCTGACGTTATGAAAATTAGTGATTAATTTACATTATTAATCTTTTCCCCTTTCATTTACTTTTTGCAATACTATTAGAATTGTGCAAAACTATTGTATACTACTAGAATTTACTTTTAATTTATTTTTTCAGTTAATTAGAAAGTGATACAATTAATTTATTACGCTGTTAATAATTTGAAATTTATTTGCTGTTTATTTACTTTATATATATATATATATGTATGTGAAATGCCAGGTAAATACACGACAAAACACTTATTCCTTTGACAGAATAAATAATTAATAGTTGAAAAATTATTAGCGGCTTTTCATTATTGATAATATACATTATTCAGCACTTACTATTAAAAGAAAACGATGCACAATATTTTTATCTAAAATGTCTTAAATATTCATAATAATTGCTAATAGTTCTAATAATGAATGAACTAAAACAATTGATCATGTTCCGTTCACTTGTCATTGATTACTTTGGAAAATAACTCATGTAGAAATTCGTCTCTTTGATATTATTTTGATATGCATTCTAATTTACGCCACTCGCATTAATATAATTAAAAAGAATTACCTTCAGGAATTACATTAGCCATGCAAGGAATTCTTTGCACACCAGCATCGTTCTTTCCCCAGCACATGATGGTCCCGTAATCACCGAGGTAACGGGGAGAATAATACAGGACGTTGAATGTCTTCGGGTGACGCCTTTTTAGGTCCACAGTGCCTCTAATAGTGTTGTTGAGTGTCCATTGGAATGCTGTTGGTTTGGGTTCAGATTCGACGTCACATGTGATGTTAACTAGTTCTCCTTGTACAACACTGAATGTTGTGGTATCAGGATATCGGCATACGGGAGAATCTGAGGAAAATATAAAATAACAATTTAAATATAATGTAATAAGTTAGATTTTGAAAGCACCTATTCTAAATTACTATAAATTTAATGTTATTATATTTTGAACTGTATACATGAACACAATGTATGAAATCTCCATTTAGCATAAAAAATCCATCTTTATGTGTTTTCTAAAATTGGAGTTAGTAAAATGAAAACAATGTGTAGTACATATTCAGATTACTAAAATGCATTCAGTTCATAAATAAAGTATGAATAAAGGCAAATCCATTATTTAAACATCAAGTTCATTAACAATTATGATGTAGTTTGCAGTATTTAAAATATTTTCTGTGTTTTCATTGACTCCCAGATATTTTTTTTTTTTTTTTTATCTTGAACGAAAACGAGACATTTCATTTAAATCCTTTCACAACAAAGTAGAAAATAATATTTCTTGTAATGCACTTTTCTGAATTTAAATATAAGATATTTTAATACACTGTAATGAGAAAATTCACAGTGTATTCACAATTAATATTTATTTGAAGGTGTATTATTATGGGAAAACATACTGATGATGCACTTGCAAATTTGATTTTATGCAAAATTCAAGTCGTTTTTAATGTGTTTTAAATATCTGTCACGTTTGCTGTATCGCTTAATTTTGATGTATCACGTCACTATTTATAATATGAAAATATTCTTTCCACCCTCATTCTGAAATAATATACTGATGTAATTTAAGAAAGAAGGAAGTTTAGAAGATCTGAAATTTTGTAAAATCACTGACGTTCACTAGTGATACTATGTCATATGATGACTAAAGAACTTCTTAACACTACTAGTCTATTTGGATTTTACGCAGAAATTTGAACTTATTCTAAACTAATGGATTCTAGCTAGACTCAGAGGTATTCAGGACTCTTAAGACAAGAAAAAATGGATCGATCAAAAATATTTAACGCTAACATGCTGTTTTAAAGGTCTGAAGACATACAAAAACGTAAAATGGTTTCAATTTCTGCAGCAAGTGCAAGTGAGAGCATGTAAACTCAACAAAAGTTCTTGGAAGTACAATTATAGTCATTTCAGTCACTAAAATCGCTAAAATTTTCGTTAACAGTTCTTGAACAGGAAGTAAAATATTGAGTGAATCCTTGAAGTGAACTTGAAATCTTAACCTTTTGAGGATAATCGAGAAGTTTCGTCGATGTAACACTGACTGCAAATTACGAAAGCTTTTCTTCTAAAACAGCAACGTAAATATTTCCGCTGATAATAATAAAACGTTAAAATTTTTAAATGTTTTAAAGATTAAATCGTTCTCGTTTCTCAATAGTAGGCTTATTTGAACTTTATTAAAAGAAATGTTACTGCAACCCCATTGCTATAATCTAAATCTTTGAAAATATTAATATTTTTTTTGCATTGTTCTTTTATTTTTTAAGATATTTTTATAAAATCCTAATAATGAACGATATTAATTATATTAAATGATGGGTTGTCTTACAAAATTTTCTATCTTTAGCTGATAATATCTTTCACTATAGAAAATGTTAAATTATCAAACTTCCCGTGCAGACTTTAAACCGAGTGTGATACATTCCAAAAATTGATCAACGAATGGATTTCTCAACAAAATAAGAATTGCTGCGTTTCTAGCCTTCTTTTTACTCTGCTAGACTCGTAATTATTTTTTCAGATGTACAACATTTCCGTTCACTCATATGGAAATGTATTTTCATCGCCACTTAACTTCAGCAACAAATGTAAAATATTGGCATACGTCGTGGTATTTTCTTGGCCTAGCTATTTTTCTATTTAGTGACGCTTTGATTTCTAGCACTCTGAAGTGCATTATTATAGTAGAAAAAACATATCTTATTTCGGAGAAAGAAGGAGAGCATATAACCAAAGAAGGCATATATATTGAATGCTTCAGACATGGGCATATTTCAGAAATACCCTTTCGTTGTTTACCCAAAAAAAAAAAAAAAAAAAAAAAAAAAAAAAACTGAAGACCACATCTACTTTCTGTAGATCAATATATGTAAAACGACAGTATATCCTTCACAGCGGACAAAGGCCGCCTTCTGTTATTCAAGAGTTCCACACGTAGATCGTCTTTAGAGTAGATTCCTATCAGAGAAATATAGATGGCTGCAGTGGGTGGATTATAAAATATAATAATATTCTTTTCTATGTGAAACCCGGTTTGCTTTGCCAACCAAATGCAGACGCATAGCGGATCTGAAAAACCTCAGAAGGGAATTATCCAAAGAATTTTACGTATGTCTTCAGAAATGGCTCCATCAAAGCCTAGGATTACAAAAACTGTGATGCAAATGCAAAAGCAGATAAAAAGCGAGATTTGTTAAAGAGATAGTAAGAATATTACTATTATTTTATTTTAGGCAATTAAAATTGTTAGTTTCTGTTTTCTGTTCGATAGTATGTGATTCTTAGATAGTCCAGCGAAGTTTAGAGTTACATAAAATGGTTAAAATTACTAAATGGGTAGATTTCAATAGGTCTTGTTCGCAAAATGGGATGTACTAAACATTTCAGGCACTACCTCGTTTTCCTATATAAAATTTCACTTTTAAGCAATTTCTCCTAAGAAATTTTCTGTGATTAGTGTTCTTTTCTAAATCTCAGTCGTCTTTTTTTTTTTTCATAATTAACAAAACACCATGTTACTTCAAGATCTCGGAAAAGTCTAACGCTTCAAGATGTTTAGGATTTCGAATGGAATTTAGGAACAGACAGAGAAACCTTTAAATATACGTCGTGCCTGACAACGTGCCTTAACTTCCTTCTTTCTCAGCCTTTGATTGTTTAAATCATAAATGTTTCTAGATATTCTGAAATCGGAAACTTCCAAATTTAATCGTATTATTAATACTTTCTGAGACAAAACAAAAAACATTTACGGCAGTAGACTATAAGGTATTTTTCCCATCTTCTTGGCATGCCTTCGTTGTGGGGTGGTCCGCACGCTGGGTGCGTATTCCAAAGGCCCGTTCGATTCCCGGCGAAGGCGTTGCATATTTTTCATCTTTCCTGCTTCCAAAAAGTACTTAATGTCTCTACAGTGGAGCCTGAACTAAAAGGGTGTTTGATGATGATTCTACACGCCCGGGATTTGCGACTAGGTTCCCTAAAAACCCCAGTCGCCCTTTAAAAGGGGGAGTATATAAGGTATTTCTCTCACGTTCTTGGCATGCCTTCGTGGTGTGGTGGTCTACACCCTGGAAGCGTATTCCAGGAGCCCGTGGTTCGATTCCCGGCGAAGGCGTTGCATATTTTTCATTATGCCTGCTTCCGAAAAATACCTAATGTCTCTACAAGACAATGAGCAGACACTGCTTTTACTATTACCAGTGACTTATGAGTGAAATGCTTTGTAGGTATAAAAACACAAAATGAGCAATAAATATCCCAACTAATGCCTATGGTATAATTAGTTGATATTTTCACTTATCTGTATACCTTAAAATTTTATATGATACGAACTGGACCGAAAAACCCTGTATAATTTAATTTTAATATCTACTTTTTTTTTTTTTGTTATTATTACATAAAGGAACGTGCAAAACTAAATAAATGCACTTAATACCACGTATAAGAAATAATAAATGCATTTAAGGTAAGGACAATTACGATTAGTAATATTAATTAATATATATCAGAAAGTATTGAATAATTATTACTAAATATTTACTTAGTTTACCGTATTTTCCCCTTATTGTTACTACTTTTATTGTAAGAAATTTGAGAAGGAAAATTATAAAAATAATTTAATTTTCGAATGACGCGGTTACAGTAAGAGAATAAGAAATAAAATATTTGTGAATAAACTACCAATAATTATTACAACATTATTTATTTAGAAGAAGCCTACCTTCCACTAAGAAATGCATTGTAATATTAATCATATAATATCTTAATAGGATATCTTCATTTCTACCTCCCTGAAACTAGAATTGCACCCGATCTTAATGCTGTCCATTGCTATTCCCTAGGCCTCAAATCATTTAATGATGCTGAAACTGCTGCTTGTGTCGACTTCTTAGCTTACAAGTCGTCTCCATTATCATCTTTGTCATCGTCTTCATTACCATTCAGCCTGTCTTGCTTCTTGCAATGATCTTCAGAACTATCCATATCATAAGATATCTCCGTTTCTTGGGGCTTAAAACTATTGCTGCTTCATTAATCACAGCCCATGTACTCAAAATACATGAGAAATAAATACGTTAGCTTGTTCAAAACAAGCATTACGTGGACGAATTGATTTTAAAATTTGCTGCTTCATTAATCACAGCCCATGTACTCAAAATACATGAGAAATAAATACGTTAGCTTGTTCAAAACAAGCATTACGTGGACGAATTGATTTTAAAATTTAGAGGAGCCCGCTTCTGTAAAGTCTTGAAAAAAAAAAAAAAAAAAAAAAAAAAAAAAAAAACTGAAAGTTACAGGAATATAAAAAAAATCAAGAACTAGAGCTAAATTGCTATAGGCAAAATTATGCGGAAGTACTCGAGCAAATACGGTATTTGAATTATTTATAATCATCATTTAGCTCCTTTTTAATTGTTTAAAATGTACAGCATATCTAACTAGTCTTATCGTATTACAAAAGTTTCCTATATAATAATCAAACTTCTCAAAGCCGCCCACAAATTATAATACTTAGTGACGCCGTCCGAAGAACCCGAGTTCTAATCTTAGAGAAGGCATGGTTGTTTGTAAATGCAAGATCTGTGTGCAGCATTGGAACAGAAAATTATATAGCGAGCCGAAAATCCTGTCAAATGGTTTGGTACTAGGAGACGAGGTGTGGGAGACCCTCGCACCCGTCCACCGGGTGCCGTTCTTCAAAAATAGGACAGAACAGAGAAAAGTTGTACTGCCACTTATACAGTAGTAATATTTACAGCAGTAGAGAAGACAGATTGTTCGTCTTAATTCATCCAATCCTATTTGTAAATAAAGGCTCAGCTCTGCTTACATATTATTTTGAAACCGTGTAGAGACATTAGGAATTTTTTGGAAGCAGGAGACTCGAAAAATCAGCAACGCCTTCAGCAATCGAACCATGGACCTCTAGAATACTCGTCCAGCGCGCAGCCACCACACCACGAAGGCATACTAAGAAGGTGGGAGAAATACCTTATAACCGTACCATGCCCAAATTCTATTTTTAGCTTTTAATCCATTAATTTGTTCTTTATTCTTATCAACCTGAGTTTATCTTGGCTGCTACCATTTTTTTTTTAAATTTTGTTTATGAAAACCTCGTTCCGAATGAGAGTTTTCATTTAGATAATGAAATATGATCAATAATACTAGTACTTTTATTCACCTTAGGTAAAATTACCTAAACTGAAATTTTTCTCTCAAAGAATGTTTCAATAAAAATAAATTAATTATAATATCGAGATATAAATTTCAGTAGGATTAAACCACAAAAATTCAATTTAAAAATGTTTTTCAAAGAATAATTTAAAAAGCGCAATTTACAAGGTATACTAAAGGGCAATAATCTTCAAAGTTTGTAGACTAAGTGGGTTTTCTATAGCTGTTATTGATTTTGGAATCCCTAAATTATAATTTTTAAGAACAGCAAACCCATACCACACTAAAAAAAGCAGATGTTCAAAAATACTGAAAATATATAAATATACTGAAAAAACATAAAAAATACTGAAATTAAAAAATACTGAATTACAATGTTAAAAAATACTGAAATTGGTCGGGCGCTTTATTCAATAGCCATTAGTCTTTCGCTATTGCAAGTGCCGGAAGTGGTGACCATTTCATACAGAAGCACCCAACAGGTGGCCAACGTAGCCTCCTATGAAAGGACGGACAGTTACAACTATGCCATCTCCGTATTTTTAAGCTCGTACCCATTGCTACGACAGTCAGGGTCACTAACTCTATACCGGTTGAGGGGCCATTCCGAATAGTGAAAAAAAAAAAAAAAAACTGCAGTTCTTGGCAGAAATGCGAGATGAATGGAAGGAATATCCGGTCTAAAATTACAAAAACACTGGTCTTATTTGTTGTTAACTTGACAATCAAAAGCCTGTTATTAAAGATATAACAAATTTCAAAAACAGATGTATTTCAGACATAAAAGCCGAATTTTATACAATATACATATTATTTTATACCCATACATATTCCAGACATAATTCTTAGGCTTTAAACATATGAAAGTAAATAATCTTATTACGAAAACACGTCGATCATGAAAGTTCGTGGTGATACCGCCAAACTTACGTCAATTAATTCCGGTAGAAATTAAAACGAATAAATCATTCTAAATTTATTTAGATAATCAACAGCTACAAAAATTAAATCTCCTATCACAATTTTTAACATTGCATCACTATTATTTATCCTTCTTTAAATATCGAGCTAGCCGCATATCGAGCTCATTTAACGATTACTTTTTTTGAACCATGATCTGGCAACTTAGAAAATTGCTGTTCACTAGAAGGTAGTCATACATTTTAATCATTTCGTCTAAAGTAGAAGGGGAAATAGTTAAATAGAAATGAACTTGCATCTTTCTTTACAAAAACTAATCTTACTTATCAAGAATAATCATATTTGCATAAAAATACTTTGAAGAACTCATAATTGTGCTGTGAAGTCACACTTAACCATTATCAGTGCTAAATCACCTGTTGGGCCATAACGTTCTACTTGTGACTTATAATGGCTTTATAAATTTCTCATTTCTTTAATTATTTGAAGGGGGTATTGAAAAAATATTCCGGTTATTTGAATGTCGGATTATTAGGCTTTTATTATATGTAGCTTTAAGAATAAATTTTAATTTTAACATAAACTTCTAATTTAAAAAGTAAAGTCGCTGAGAACTGATAGTTCGACCCGGGGCTCGATTCCAGGCGAACAAGCTGGCTGCATAGGCGTTTTCTATTAGAAAAACGTTGCTATGAGCTAGTTTGTGTGAAACGTGTTGACGAGCTAGTTTCCCTTAGATGTCTTATAGGAAGAGGCAACCCTTCTGTTAAGGAGACAGCCGTAGCATACTTTGTCATAATAAAATTAAACCAAATCAACTGCAAACTCACCACTCTAATTTGAAAACCAGTCTACTTTACCATTAAACGAACTTAAATTTTAAAATAAATGAAGCAAGAAATAAAAAAATAAGTGACGGAACAGATAAATTTATGTTTTTATTATTTATGAGAGCAACAGGAAACTATTTCAAGTTACTCGAAGTTATTAAGTTTCTTTTTGAAAGCAATTAGCAAATTTTTAAATAAATGTGTAATGTTTTGGGCTGCAGATTCATTCATTTTTAAGGAAAAAATATGACATCATTTATATTTCGTTTTAGCATTATTGTATTTCATACGTACATATGTATTCGGATATTTTTCTGAAGACTCATTTATTTATTTATTTATTCCAGTGTGACAAATGAGGAAAATACTAATACCAACGTTAATTAATTTTAAATTTAAAGTTTTTATGTGGAAGCTAGAAATTTCGATTTTATTCAATCAAAATGATTAAAAAATATTTTAAAATATTTTATTCCTGAAAACGCCAAGAAAAATAATTAATTACGAAGCGAATTAAAAATAAATTTTTAGGAAAGGCTTTTGCTAATCCTTCAAATTATTTTCTAATTTTCAGCGATGAAACAAAAATTTCATTTTCGGGTTTGAAGAAGAAATCTTGTTAATGATCTTTTAATGTTTTCCAAAATGTATGCTGTTCTCAAGTGGAGTAATTTAATATTCTTAAATTATTCTTTAAGGCCAATTTAATGCTACTAAAAACATACTTCGAACGCCTCTTCAAGCTATTTTCTTAGACCTTACACTGTAATTTTCTCTAAGGAATTCTTAGGAAAAGATTCTTTCTCTGACGTCTCGTCATGAGCTTACGTCATATCTGGGTCATTCTTTTGTGAGTGAAAAATAAATGTCTAGCAGAGCGTGCAAGAGAAAAGTCGGAAAAATGACTTATCTCTGCAAGCCCACTGATGTTGCACATTCGCGAACCTCTTTCACCGTAACTGCAGAGTGAGCGAAGTACCATTTCTGGGAGCGTCGTCAGTCCGGTCTGCCTGAGCTTTTATGCAACTGTCAAGGCTCGTATTCGGTCTCACCGAAATAGTTCATTCTCTGTGTATGGAAATAACAGAGTCACCTCATGAATTCCTATCTTTGCGTGAATGGTTCTTTTCATCTACGCTGTATTCGTGCGCTTTGATTTGTTTGTTGTTAAATCCATGTCTTACTCTTGACAGGTATCACTGGAAGTTGTAAAATTCTTTTTTGCTTACCTATTTATTATGCATATGCATGAGTAAGTTCTTGCTGTTGTAAGCAATTTTGCTTTCGATTTTGTGACTGATTTCTATATTTCATGCGCAGGAATGCAGCCAAAGAATTCTTTATGGAAACAAAGCAAGAACGAAAGCTCAAAAATAAATTGTGATTGTTGCATAACTGCAAATGTCTTTGCAAAGAATTCTAACATTATATGATCGATTTTCAGTTATTTGATATATTATATGAATTTTGGGTCTAATTGTAATCTAGGTAATACCAATCTGAGTTTAAAAAATGCCGAATAATTACAAAGGAAGTTGCTAAGGCAGCAATGATCAGGATATTATTCATACTTTTGCAAATTTAGTTTTGAAAGTTTAAGTAAAGAGCCTTTTCCTTCAGCTGCAAAATTTATTTAAATATTCGAACCTAGTCCTGCATATTTATAAATAGAGCACAGATTATTATTCCCTTAGCTCCCCCATAAAGTAAAACCAGTTAAGCATATCGCTAAGCTTTTATTTATTTCATTTATTTTTATTCAAATTGAGAGACAGAAGAAGTTGCGTTGATAAATTTTTATACTTAATATGATCAGGTTATTATGCTTTACGTAATTTTTATTTCTAATTTTTTGCCTCTTTCACAGCTTATTTTAGATTATCAAAGACAATCAGATTATTATTAACAACAGAATAATGTAATTTTTTAATGTAGCTTTAAATATATATCTGGGTCATTTACCTAACATATTTGTATTAGCACGAAAGAGAGCAAATAGAACATAAAAATGATGTAAAATGTTAAGCTTTCCCTGCAGTTTTGTATAAATGT